GCCGGTTGAGCTATAGGCGCCGAGCCAAGAAGTCAGTTCTTTAAGTGTTTTCTTTTTTATTTTTAGAGACAGAGTCTCATCCCATTCTCCAGGCTGGAGTGCAGCTCACTTGATCACAGCTCACTGCAACCCAACCTCCAACTCCTGGGCTCAGGCAATCCTCCTGCCTCAGCCTCCAGAGGAGCTGAGACTCGAGGTACATAGCCCCACACCTGCCTAATGTAAATAAAAATTTATTTTGTAGAGATAGGGGTTTCACTTTGTTGCCCAAGCTAGTCTCAAACTCCTGGCCTCAAGTGAGCCTCCTGCTTTGGCCTCTCCAAGTGTTGAGATGGCAGGTGTGAGCCACTGCACTGGCCCCTTAAGTGTTTTCTAGAAAGACAGAGGAGAGGAGCAGGCTCCGTGGACGTCTCTCTCTGAGGACACGGCTCTCCCCCGAGCGGCACACTGGCCGTCACCCTGGGTCTGGTCTGGATGCCCGGCACACACACCTGCCCTGAGAGGTCGCACTCTTGGTCGAACTCCACGTACTCCTCCTCCTTGCTGTACATCCCCAGGCCGAACTTGAGCGGCTTCCCACTGTCGTCGAGGCGGAACTTCAGTTTACACAGGCTGTCGAAGAGTTTGGACAGGTGGCGACTCACCTGGGTGGTGGGGAGAAAGGATTATGCGACCGAGGGATTGGAAAGGGTGTGGACACGGTGTGGGGGCCCCTAGGGTGGTTTTAAGCATCTTCCTTGTTTCCTTTTTTTAATCTGTTCCTCATCTTCGGTTAATGTTGGGTGGACACGGCTTATCCAACACAAAGAATCAGGGAAAACTGCTCTCAGGCCGGACACGAGACGAGCCCACGGAGGAGGGGAAGGTCCCCTTGAGGCTTCTTTCCCCCAGTGAGGTTTCGTCCCAGGCCCAGGCCGCAAACTCAAACCCGTAAGTGCAGGTCGGCCTTGCGTCCTCCTTCTTCTTGTGTGTCCCCTAACTTTGTGGTTATAATGAAACACGGTTTAACCATTTCCCCTTCACCTCATCAGTTAACTCTCTTTTCTTTCAGAAGAGCCTCAAATAGACTTTTCTTGCTGGCTCCCGGGCCTGTGATTTATTAGAATCCCACAGAAGAGGACCCGTGAGTGGGTGTATCTGTCGGAAAAACCATGTCTTGCTAAGCGGTGGCACCTAGCCCATTTTGTTAGAAGAGGAAAAGAGGGGAATTAATTTGCCTGAAGCTACACTAAGGGCAGGGCAGGTGTGAGCTGCTGCCATATGTTTCTGCCTTGGGGGGTCAGGGAGCTTCTGGTGTGGAGGACCTCATGGAGATGATACAGGGGCACCCATGGACGCTCTTCCTCCATCCCAGGGCTAACCAGATGCCGGGGTAGATCCTGGAGTCCGGATCCAGGGCACGGTATTGGCTTATACTCCAATGCCAGGGGCCCTGCCTACCTCCACAGGATCGTTGCCATTGGAGAGGATGTCCAGCAGGTCAGCTGAGGACACAAAATAGAACCTCGGGAAGGCCAGTCTCTTGGTCTCTAAATATTCTGCCAAAGCCTTTTCACACATGGCCAAGCTAGGAGGAAGGAAGGGGAGCAGCTGGTCAGCTTTGCTCCACAGAGGGGCCTGTACAGCCCCGCCCATCAGCACACTGGACAGGTGGGCGTGGAGACGTCTGGTCTCTGGCTCACAAACCTGGTTTAGTTCAGAACTTCCTACCGGCTACTCTCATCTCTTTACCAGCCCCTGACGTCAGGGGCAGGAGGGAGGGTCATTTAATCTCATCCATGGTCATTGCTTCTTCCAAGGTGCAGGAGCATCTCAAGGCCAGCGCGGCGGAGGGTGGCCCAGGGATGGGAACATGTCAGCCTCCCACCCCGTGGCTTTGCCCCACCCTAACCAGCAGGGACAGGGTGGCCCACCTTTTCTTGAGGGCCTCCAGTTTGTTGTAGAGACCTGGCTTGTTGGTGGCTTCCACCACATTGGGGGTCTTCACCGCGTCCTCCATCAAGGCCTGGGGGAGGAGGGTGCCCAGGTGTCAGGGGCTCTGGCACGGCCAACACGGCTGCCTCTGAAAGCGCCTGGGAACCAGCAGGCTGAGCTCACCTTGAACTCCAGATCGATGGCGTCAAAGCGCTTGGAGTCCTCCGGGAGCTGGTTCCGGATGTCCTCGGAGCCGATGAAGATGCTCTCCAGGTGGCTCCAGGTCCTCTGGACTTCAAACCAGATGGAGATGACCGAGTCTGCCGTGGACAGCTTCTGCTGCCAGCTGGTCACCTCCTTCAGGAAGTGGGACAGGTACTTGGACATCATCAGGTTCTGCAGCTGCACCTGGTTGTCCTCCAGCGTCTCCACCAGGACCTCATCCGACTTGAGCATCATGGTGCCTGTCCGCGGGTGCGGCTCATGCTCAAATTCCATTGTGCTCCAGGTGCTGTCCAAGGTCTTCAGCACCTGTCAGGGGGACCGGGAAGAGGGTCACTAAGCGTCTGGCATGTGAAACTAGGGAAAGACCCGGAGTTCCCAGACTGTGGTGTGAATCCACTGTAAGAAAGCGGGACGCTCGCACCAATACCACCTGTGGGCCAGGTGTTGTCAGTTACCCACTATCGCCTGGACAAGCCCAACTCGCTGTACCCACGCACAGGAGCACCCCTTGGCCTCCAGGAGGAGCCACCCACGCACAGGAGCACCCCTCAGCCTCCAGGAGGAGCCACCCACGCACAGGAGCACCCCTCGGCCTCCAGGAGGAGCCCACGCACAGGAGTACCCCTCGGGCTTCAGGAGGAGCCACCCACGCACAGGAGTACCCCTCGGGCTTCAGGAGGAG